TAGCTAAATAAGAAGCAAATATAGCAGACAATGTAAGGCGCCGGCGATCACTTGCATTGCACGTAAACTGGAGGGCGCCGAAACTCAGCTAGTGCCTCACAGATTTTTTAAATATAGGATATCTATTAGCTTGAAATGTCTTCTTTCAAACGAAACTATTCAAAACGAAAAGAAATAGACTAGGCCTACTCTCTGATTATGTAATCAAATGTGCATTTCTCTCTGGCGTTCATGGCGAGTCCGCATAACTTCATCTTTGCAGCGACACAGAAAACACCTGTTTATTAATAAACAATTAAATGTCTCCTTGCTATTTTTGACACATTAATAATCATTACTTTCGCCGGTTCTTTGTGGCAAGGTTTATGAGTGCGGGCGTGCGCTTGAGTGCGGCTATATTAGGCTACGTAAACGCCCATCCTGTAGCCTATTTAAGTAATTAAATCAATATAAAGGGGCGATGTGTCCACAGTGGCTAAAATGAACAACTACTAATCGACTAGAAGAAACCTTTAGTCGGAGGCAGCCCTTATTCCACATATTTTCGAACCAGCAGGCCATTCTGGGTTGAGCGCGCGACCCTGAGCGGAATGAGCGAGCGGAGGGATTCAGAAATGCGCTCTCCGCTCACATGCTCTGATCGGAACAAACTAAGCATGACAAATTCAAACTTTATTTCATTTTCTCCGTAGCTTAAACACTCAAACACAGCATGTCTATTTTCATTTTTTCCCCCACGTTTTTTAGTACAATATTATGTTAGTCCACAGCCCCCACCAAGGGGGCTGTGGCTATGACGAGGGGGGCTGCAGCCACCGCAGCACCCCCCTTCCCGCGCTACTGCAACCTATCCAGTATGTATATAGTTCGTTCCTGCTTCTTTTTTTACGTTCTGAATTATATATTAAAAAAATGTTTTATTTATAAATGAATTTCACTGTATATAGTCTAAAGTATGAAAGAAATGTATGTACATTTTTAGAATAACTAATTTCTACATTAAACACAACAATACGCCATCGCATTCGCGACTCTCTTATGATTAAAAGTGACACTTCCGGTTTTCTTCCCACCGGACCCATTTCAAAATGGCGGCTGCGTGAAATCAGCGTATTGACCTATCAGCCTGCACAATCTAGAGTTTCATGACAGAACTTTTTATTATTTTAACATGGAAAATAACAACGGTTTTACTTAAAAATGTGAAAAGTTGTAAGATTGTCTTGCTTTCACTGACGCACACAAGATGCTCTTTGAAACATTGGATCATAATCTTTATATATATATATATTTTTTTTTTATTGTGTTTATTCACTTTTATGCGAAATTCATTTATTCTCATTTATTTTTTCAAGCTACTTGAAATAATATTAAACCTTTTTCTTGATATTTTGTGACTTTTTCTCATTTATCATCATGAACATGCATTCAAAGTTTCAACATGCTGAGACATATACAAACAAAATTACTATTACTTTTGTGATGTTCGCGGGTCAATTTGACCCTCATAGGCAGCTATTCAAAAGCAACTGTACAGACACAAAATAAAAACATTTATTTTATGTATGTCAGGGCACTTCAACTCCAGTTCTAATGTGCAAGTGCATCTAAAAGTGCTCTAACCAAACACACTTGAAAAAGCTAAATCACGTGTTCAGAATTAATTGCAAATGAGCTGTATTTACAACCAATAGTGAAGACTATCCTGGATATGACCAATCTGGAAGGCAGCCGTGTGCTTGGTGAGAAATGGAAACCACTTGATTTTATTGATTTGAATGCTTAAATTGAATTGCTAATTTTATCTAGAGTGTACAGATCAAAAGGAGAGGCAACTGCCAGTTTATGGACGGAGTGTGGAAGGCCAATGTTTCGCTCCACAATGTCTCGGGAAAGATTCCACATAATTTCCCAGGTCATTCGTTTTGATTACCGTGAAACCAGACCCAGTCGACGCAAGAGCGACAAATTAGCGGCAATCAGAAATGTGTGGGGTAAATGGGTAGAAATTCTGCCTCGTCTTTACAACCCTGGACCACACATTACAGTGGATGAACGCCTTGTACCATTCAGAGGACGCTGTCCTTCTCGCCAGGACATTCCAAAAAAGCCAGCCAGATATGGCATCAAAGTATGGACAGCCTGTGATTCCAAGTCCAGCTATGCCTGGAAAATGCAGATTTACACAGGCAAGCCATCAGGTGGAGCATCAGGTGGAACTTCTTTACATCGTACAACCTTGGTGTCGAGCTACTCAAGCGAAAGCTGACTTTGATTGGAACAGTAAAAACAAACAAAAAAACCTGAGCTACCCAGAGAGATTCTGAACATGGAGGGCAGAAACATGCATTCGTCAAAATGTGCTTTCTCTGAAACTGCAACAGTTGTTTCTTACTGCCCCAAAAGAAACAAGAATGTCCTTGTGATGAGTGCAATGGACAGAGATGTATCACTGAGTGCAAGAGAGGACCTGAAGCCAGACTATATCAGCCTACAGCTGCCAGCGCACTGTCCGTTGGCCTCTGGTGGTCTTCTGCAACATCTTGAATATGTCAGCATATAATGCCTTCGTCCTGTGGCGTGAGATCAACCAAACCTGGAATGAGGGCAAATTGAATAAACGTCGATTGTTCCTGGAGGAGCTGGGAAAAGCTCTCATCACACCTGAGATCCAGAGACGCGCCTATCCACCTCGATCACCAGGTGGATCCGGAGTCTGACACACAGAAAATGAAGGAGTGAACACAGATGATGGGGGGGAAAAACGGAAGAGATGTGAGGTGTGCCCATCCAAGCGCGACAGCAAAACCAGCACCATGTGTGTGAAGTGCAAGAAATTCATATGCAACAAGCACACACTTGCTGTGAGCTCATCATGTCAGAAGTAACTTCTTGACTTTATGAAATGAGTCTACAAATCAAAAGATGAGCCAACTTAGGAAAAGTAAATATTATTTTCATTATACAGCAAAATGTAATTGTTCAGTTATGATGTTCTAAGCAAAAATTTTTGTCAAAACAAAATGGTTAAAAAAACATTTTCATAAATCATGTCCAGATCTAATTTTTTGTAATGTTTGACCAATGTTGATATTAAAAGTTTACAGTTAGTACCTGAATCCTTGTTGTTTTTCATAGTGTGATTTTTGAGGAATTGTATTGAACACAATTAGGGTTAATTTGACCCGCTCCATAAAGGGTGTACACAGAAATCGAACAGTGCACGAGGGTTAAATGTGTGTCCGCGGTGTGTGTAAACAACCAGCCTATAGTGGTAAAAATCCACCAACTCCTTTTTATAATCCCCATAAATCATAAACAGTCTCTTCAAAGGCGCGGTAAGAGTAGGGGGAAGCCCCGCCCATGACTGCTGATGACGATTTGCCATATTGGCATAGATTCCGCACTGAGTGAGCCGCAACAGTCCGCCATTTCTGTTTCCTCACTGTAGCAGTAGAGATACAAACGTTACAAATGTTCTTTTATTGGATGTACCAAGTCTTCATAGACTCCCAATATCTGAGCCACTGAGGACAGCATGGTTGAACTTAATTTATGAAGTAGCCTAAATGTGCAGAATTCAAGTGTTATATATTTGCGCTAATCATTTTACACAAGACTCAGGGTCAGTTCAATGCTAGTCTAAGCCTTCGTTGGCTGAACGTCAGATGCATATAGAACAGGTCGGTGTGGTCCATATAAGCTGCGAATGCTCTGCACACCAAAGCCTTTCGTGGACTCGCTGATTTCTATTAACACTATAAATGATATAAATCCCCTTGTTTGATGTGTACCATAAAGCTTAAAAGGATAAAATATTGGCAATGACCTATGTAACTCGCTGTCATTTATTTATTTGCCAAACAATGGCATATTCTTCAAATCTGACAGTAACGGAGGGTTTCGGGTAAGCGGATCCACAGCAGCGTTGGCGCCTTTGCTCTGTTGTTATGTGTCGTCTTCATTGTCCCACGTTCTCATTGGTTTGCTGGCATATGGAGGATTTCGCCCAAGCGGAATTTTTTTTTGTGTTTGATAGAAAACTAACTAGACTAAATCAAGTGTAAAAAGTCATAACTGAAACTATTTTCATAGTATTTCATTTTATTTTTAACGAAAACTAACTCTGCTAAAGACAGACCTGATCTGAAGCATGAGCTGTAAAGGCTCCGCCCTCTTCTGAAAAGCTCATTTGCATTTAAAGGGACACACACAAAAACGGCGTGTTTTTGCTCACACCCAGATAGGGGTAAATTTGACAAGCTATAATAAATTACCTTTGGGGTATTTCGAGCTGAAACATCACAGACACATACGGTCTGGGGACACCAGAGACTTATAATACAACTTGTGAACAGGGGCAAAATAGGTCCTCTTTAAATAAAAATGGAGACATACCAAATACTAGAACTTTCTGAAATCCAGGTACGTCTATCAATTCAACTTTTATCACTTTTCACTCAAATATGTATGCTGATAATATAATTAGTTATAATTAAAACGATATTATTCACTAAACTATATTATTCACAAAAATGCAGTACAGAAGCTTTAGTGGGCTCTGGTTTTGGATTCCACAGTAGTACATTTAAGATATCCTGTATATATTGTTTAAAAACAGGGAAATGTAAAAGCAAACACCCTCTAAAAACAACAAGTTTCATATTAATTTATTATCTAATTAATGAATATTATGAATTATGAATCCAGAAAGTGGATTACAAAAGCCTCTGAGGCCTTGCCACCTGATATCAGGTTACAATCACAGGTTTGATTTGGTCATGAAATCAAAGTACAGATACATATAAGCATGACATTATATTCATATGTGACATGTCAGAAAACAGAATTGATATTGATAACGATGTGAAATATATTGCATATAATTGCAGTAGGTTATTATTTAGACAAAACATTTTTTGATTTTGGAACAGACTGCCAGACAGATGTTAGACAATCAATGGGGTTAAAGTTGGTTCCCTTGAGCATTTCAAACCATAACAAAAATACAAATGACAGAAATATGTTTGGCTTGAAACTAAATCATCCCACACATCAGCAGCTAATTATTAATTATGCATAAACAACACAGAGACCAAAGTTAATCACATGTAACTTTAACTAAGGTTTTCATCCATTTGTATGTCAAGTAAACTTAACCTTCGGCCTTGCATTCACAGCTTGTGACGTGTCTGTATGTGAAGTGGGTCAGAGAGCTTTTGCTGCAAGTCAGCGTTATATCTCTCATCACATAACCTCTCTCCTTACAGCACTGGTGACTCTGTTCAAGCTGCAGCGTCCCGTTAGTCTGAATCCACCTACAAGAAAACACAACAAATAAGGATCGGAACTCAGGTATCAAGTGCAACTAGTCCTTCTCGAGGGATCCCAACCGGCATCTCTGGAACATACATATATTCCAGAGATGCCAGTTTGAATCCTTCAAATATATATATATATATATATATATATATATATACACACCTTGTGGAAACTGTAATAGTTAGTTTTTTTTTAAGATTTTTATTTATTTAACAAGAACTCATTAAATTAATCCGTGACATCAAATACATTTATCATATTACAAAACACTTCTTTTTAAAATAAATGTTGTTCTTTGACCTTTCTATGCATCAAAGAATCTGAATAAATGTAAAATGAAAAAAAAAAATCATGGTATCCACATTATACACTTTGGGACCTGAGTTAAGCACACTTTCCTTTGTCCCATTGGACCCTATTATTTTTTATTAGAAGTAGATTTTTATTTATTTATTTATTTGTATTTACCCTCAATTTTACACTGTGTATTTTCCAATGTTCCATAATTTAAGCACATTGTTTTGCACTATAGTTTTGTGCATATAGTAAACTACACCTGTATAGCGGAACAATATGGCTCAATATTTTTACATTCATTCATTCAAAAAAAATGCTGTAAAATAACAAATGTTCTGACAATACCCTCTAGTGGCCATAAAGCTGTTTGTCAAGGAAATAATTAATGTTTAATAGATGTGTGCTATTTGCTTTTAGTTGCATATTATCAGTACCTTTAGCACAGAATACTACAACAGACCTTCACGTGATCGTCCAGCGTATTTTTTATGAGACAGGCTTTGAAATACTTGCCTGTTGTGTGTCTTACACTGGCCATCACAAATGGGAAGCTCGACTTCCTGTGTGCAGTCGGCAATTGTTAGGTTCATTCTTGTCACTCTGGCAGCACATGTAACATTACCTGTGATACACGGAACAAAATTACAGTCAGCAACATACTAAAATCATGAGTAAAAAAACCCTTAAAATGTCTATTAAATGACCAATTAGCATAAAATAATAGGTAACACTTTACTTGAAGGGGTGTGCATAAGACTAACATGACACCTTCATAATCATGACATGACACATGTTATGAATATGAAGGAAGTTTTATGCATGTTTATGACAACTGTCATTAAGTGTCATTCGCTCAGTTATGACATTTTTAATGCAAATATGACATTGTTTGAGATGTCTTGGTAATGACACCTTGACATAAACCAATACATCATAACCTGTCAGTGTCTTTGTCATGACAACTTGACATTACTAAGACAACACAACCTGTCATAAACATGACATAGCAGATTAATTATCAAACTTAAGAAAACACTTAGCTTTATTGGTTAACATTACATTAAACTGTCAGGTGGTTGGTTTTGACATTGGCTGTCATGTAGCCATTATAACTTTTTAATGACAAATTCAATTTGTACCACTGTAGTTGAGGTCACGAAAAATATTCATGACACAGTTATAATGGACTGATGACAGCCAGTGTCAAAACCAACCACATGACAGTTTAATTTAATTTAATGTCAAGTTGTCATGACAAAGACACTGACAGGTTATGGTTTATGTCAAGATGTCATAACAAAGACATCTTAAACAAAGTCATATTTGCATTCAAAATGTCATTATTGAGCGAAAGACACTTAATGACAGTTGTCATAAACATGCATAAACCCTACTTCATATTCATGACATATGTCATGTCATGGTTATGAAGGTGTCATGTCAGTCTTATGCACACCCCTTCAAGTAAAGTGTTACCCAATAAGAATTGTTTGATTGAATGGTACAGTTCCAGCAACAGTGAAACGTATGTGTAAACCTACATGAATAGCAGCAATGATGTTCATCCCACACTCGTAAATCCTGGACACACACAACAACAACATAATAATGCAGTGGCTTTCTAGAAGATTCAACCAGAAAAAAACATGCACATGTGCAACAAACTTGATTTTCTTTTGTAATACTGATGGTCTCTCACCTCGGCACAGGTTTGCAGCGGACACACGGTTTTCTCAACCTCAGTTCCTGTCGGACTACAGCTGAAAGACTCGCACGGACTTAAAGGGTCTGTCCACCGATCACCCACCTGAAGAAAAAACACAGTTAAATACATTTTGTTAAATGTGTTTTGTGCTAAATTGAGTTACAGAAACGTCTTTTAAAGGGGCCTCTAAACCTTTACAAAACAGACAAAACTCCCATTGTGAGTAAATATGTGAACTATTTCCTTTACCTTGTAAATCCTTCCATTGTATTCGCAATTCTTCTCAACTGTAAAAAGCAAAAAAAACATACTCCGAATCTATTTTTGCAACAGTGGACCTCGTGATATAATCAATGAAAAAAGATATGTATTCCAAGCGACAGTGGCAGTCTACACTATGTGGTGCCAAAGATTGCCGAATTACCGCAGATCTGATTGTCACAGCAGTCAGAAACCAAGATGGAGAAGGCGCTGCAGACTGGAGTAGGTCCGGGAGGTTTGGGAACACACTCTTCAGTTCTAGTCTGGTTATTACATGTGCATATGTGACAGTTTGATTCCCATACTGCCCCTACCTATAACAGACAGACAGGCAGAGGATTACTGTTATGCAGTATTCACAATAAACATCTATGTATTGTTTAAAAGAAGCTTGTGGTTGCATTAATAATTTATCTCTTACCGGCATTGGCTCACCCAATGGTCCTTTACACTCTGAAAAATAAATATGTGTGGAAATTCATGTATAAATGACCCATTCTAGAGAATATCTGCTTATTCAGATATTGTATTCTTATTGTATTTTCCCAATGTCAGTTTTGATAACAAATGAGTTTAGCTTAATAGGAATTTTCTGTTTCACTTTATTTGGATGGTCCCTTTAACACATTCAGTTGACTATAAGTAACATTGCACCTACATCTCTACTAACTCTCACTAGAGTGTTAGTAGAGTATTAGTAGACTGGTAGGGTAAGGGATAGAATAAGTTGACATGTAGTTGCAAAGTTACTTATAGATTGTCTGTTAGAGGATCATCACAATAAAGAGTTAGCAGATATTAAGACAGTCTACTAATACTCTAAAGCTTTAATCAATATCAGCAATGAATCGATTTGTGGATATGAATTGCTTGTATTATTTACATAAATTCATTGATTAAAAATAATTCATTCACAATATTACTTTAAATCTTGAGCTTTAAAATAATAACAGTCGTTTTGAAATATTTGGTTGAATCTGTCGTGTCGGTAAAGAAAGTCACTCACTAGTGCATTCAGACACACAGATTTGCTTGTGATCTTCTGCAAGCGTGTGGTCATCAGGACAAAAGCAGCCTGATCTCAGACCAACCACAGACGTTGCAGGAACACGAACTCTGAGGAAACAATAGAGTGATGGCCGTGAGGCTATAGAAAATCACGAACATGCGATCCTATACCTTACCAATAACGAATAAAAAAAAAACTCTCTAAGAGACTAATGAAAAAATCTAGACAAACAAAGTTAAAGGTGGAGAATTGGCAGGTTTCCTTGAAACTCAATCTTTTAATTGAGAGGTGAAATTTGAAGCAGAGCTTGCACTGTGGGAATCATTTAAAGTAAATTCTTTCTCACCCGCCTCGACAGACATCATTCGGAGACTCGCGACACTCATCGTACGTCATTCCTTCAGGACACGTGATCTCTAAAATGCAGTGGAACAGACAAATGCATATTGTTATTGAGGACTATTGAGGACTGTTTCCCTTGTATTTAATGAATAAGATTAATACTGGGTTGAAACTATTACGCCAAAAGTGTGCAGATGGTTTATTCTTTTATTTTGTTAATTTTATTAATTTTAAGCTAATGAATGTGGCTACATGCTAATGCAAACACAAACAGAGGATTTCTTACGTGCTCAAAAACATGGAGCTTATCATCAAAGTGCATATCTATAGGGCAGAGTGAGTAAGCAGATTTGTATGCAGTAAGGGGCCCTTTGTAAGGGCACTAACCCAAGTGACTGAGTTTAATACTCCCAATAATCCCAAGGGCAGTGGTTTTCAACCTTTTTGACTCCAAAGCCCACCATTGTCCACAAAAATATTAAAAAGTCTGACACTCCTAGTTTCCGCAAATTAAATTTCAGAAGCCCAATTCCAGTTTAAGAGTTCTTTAGGGTTTCCACTCTTTTTAACCAATACAATTCCTTATCTTTTCAAGTCGTTGGTAATTTACTGGATCTAGAAGGTGCCTAGAAATCACGTTTAATATTAGACTACTATGGCCCGGTTTCACCGAGTCCGAAATTCTCGTCTGAAATTTTCGTTTGTTAAAAAAATAAATACGACCTCATGTTGTGTCAATTGTGTTTACACACACTGCCTCCGAAACTTTCGCCCATCATAAAAAAAAAATCAGATCAGGTTAAATTTTCTACATTTTTCGCATCCGTAGCAAGCATTTGCAAGTAGCAAGGTGTTTTGACAATTCAGAGCCATTGTACAAGCGAACACCAAAATCCAGAACTGTTCAGGATCAATTGGTTCACGGAAATTGTTGGTTTTCTTTTTAATATGTGGCTCCAGTATCGCTAGCGAAGCATCAAACTGAGCCACTAACATCTTGATGCAAACGTTGAATCACTCGGCACAATCCCGCAGCTCCTTGATGAGGAGATGGAACTGTTTCTTCTCTACGCAATCTCAGGATTGGATGGACCCAATATTTCCTTTTTCTCTTTTTAAGAAGAGTGGGGACTCATCCTCACTGCGTGAAGACTCCATTTTGTATTGTTTTGCAAATTTTTGCGACTCAGTGTGCAAGGAATTTTACTTTACAAATATTTTGAAGTCTTCTTGGGGCCCTAGTGGGCCCTGTTACCCCTTGTTGAGAACCACTGCATAACTGGACCCTTATTTATCAGTGTCCAAGAAAACTTTTAAATGGAAAATGCTCTTTGTAATAATAATTACCTTCAAAGCTTAACCACAATTAAATGAAACACAATAAATGCTATAAAATATACCATAAAACCACCTATGAATTCCACAAATTCAATACTCAATGAAACTCAAAGGACTCATAAAGACTTGCAGATCTTTAAAGTGGTATATATGTAAAGGCTTAGGTTAGGTTTTAAGATGCTGACATGTTGATATCATATGTATCAGTGTCTAAACGTACAGAAATATAAGTGTACTACTACTTTCTGAAACTATAATTTCATTCTGTTCACTTACCACAGGAGCCATTGGTAAGGGATCTCCAGTCCACACAAATACCAATCCTCTTGCACTCTGATGCTGCGTATTCCAGAGAGGAACAGGCAACAACACTGCTTCTAGTTGAACAGTAGTCAAACCGGCAGTTCTTCACCACAGACGTAAGATTGATCCTTTTACTGCACTCTGCAAACACCCTGGGTAAAAGCCAAAGTTGTTAACAACACCAATTATATTCACAATTATAGTCGCAATGCAACAGGCCAAGTTGTTTATCCTTTTTCTATGGAGAAAAAAAAGTTGATTTTTACTTCCGAAACACTACTGTTATGCTTATTGACCTCAGTTGATATTAAAATACCATACAGTGGCTTACTCATGGTGAAGAAGGTCACACATTGGAGGATTACAGGGAGGTTGGGGCGGGGGTGGAGGTGGAGGTATGGTAGGGAAGCAAGGAACATTGATGGGTGCCGATTTGCAGTAGGGTTTCAGAGGGTCTTCTACGACCCAGTCATATGCAGTCTTATCACAGCAGTTGTCATCTTCAACTACTCCATTTCTTCGTATGCATGACTGACCACCACAACCACCTGAAAAGTCAAATGGAGCAAGATTGCCCAAGGTTACAGCCATTATATACACTATTTATATCTATTTTTAGTTCTATAATCTGTGATATCTGTCATAAGAACCATATTGTACATCATGTATCAATTCCCAGACAGCAACATACTGTCGGCCCAGATCCGGGCCACATCTGGTATATGTGGATTTAACGCTGTTGTTCAACGTTGCTGTCTAGGTTACTTTTAATCGTACAATCAAATGATTGTAATTACTTACCGCACTGTCCTATGGTGTTGTTTTGGAAGTGCTCTAATGCCAGGTTGATTAACAGAGTGTTGAATGTCGAAAGAGAAACATAGGAACGGATAGGTTTGATGTAGATGTAGACCTGGCTATCACTGCTTTCAAACTTGAAGACCTGATTTTCATACGGTGGCTTTATGATTTCCTGGTTCAAAGTAGACTGGGGAAAAAAAAGACAATCTGCTTATCATCCAAGTTAAAGTGAACTATCATCTCCATTTATTCACAGAAATACAAATAGCGGCAGAGAACTGTAGAGTTGAGTATGTTGAGTTGAGTATGTGTCAGTTAAAGAATAATGGTGAATTTGGTATTGATAATAAAAGGTTTATTGACCAGCTTAGGCTATACACAATTTGTATAGGCTACTGTTGATTAAGAAGGCTTAAATATTATTTACAAAAAACTGTTGCATTTAGCAATTACAATTTCTGAACGATGGTTTCCAAACTTAGTCCACCAGAAACAAAGAAACATTTACGGCCTATTACAATTGCCTAATGTATTCAAAATGAGTGTTCATGAGGACTGGCTAGATCAGTTAAAGTTTCTTTGTGGAATCACATTTTAAAATCTTCACTTTACTTTTTTTAAAACTGTCCTTTTCGTATTCTTGGCTAGAGTAAGGTGAAATGTGGACCACACATTATACCTAGATTCAAATGTATGGCTCTGGGAGACTGATACATTAGAACATTAGAAGAATCACGTTGTTATTATTATGAACCTACCTCCACTGACTCCGCTGTTACCATAAGTGTGACAGTGTCATTCCAGTACTTTAATGTGATGCCCCTAGAACAGGAATTATCAATTTCCTCGATACAGTAGTAGTTGTCTACAGTTATGCTTAATCTGTGTTGAGGTTTTTTCTCCTCCACTAGAGTGTAGGTGCAGTTGTCCATGAAGTCAAATGCAATGCCCTGGAAGGAAATGTAGTGAGGGTCTCCATAAATCTGACACTGGCCTGAAAAAGGAAACGGGAAAAATACAATTACGATTGGTAAAATTCGTAAAAGTCACCCTTATTGTTTTCTATTGACTGGACAAAAAAATAGCCCCACCACTAACAAATCCAACTGGATGAGTCTATGTTTATATGGCAGGTTGGTTTACTTACAGTCACACTTAAAGCTCTCACAGCAAGTCTCTTTATCTTTAACCAAAGACATCTTGTCGCTAGGGCAATCCGTCCTGGTTTTGGGTGTTGGGCAGGTTATGGATTTTACCTCAATCACTCCAGCCTTACAGTCTTTATCAGCACAATCCTCTCTCCAAGTTTCTCCACATGACCAGCTTTGATTTCGCATCACATCATTGCACTCGCACACTGGTTCAAAAATGACATAAAAATAAGATCACTCTAATCAACACATGTAACGAGTTTGAGGACTGTATGGTGAACATACTGTAATTCACATGGATTTTAAATCTGAGAAATTGATCCATATGTAGTTTAAGCAGTAGTAGGCCCTGGGGTTGTGTTATCATGTAGAATTGTATTTGTGAGTAGCAGTTGTACCTGGAGTTGTGTGTATTGTAGTATTGGATACAGGGGTCATTGTTGAAGGGTTCACAGTTGAAGGGGTCACCGTTGAAGGGGTCATCGTTGTCGGATTTATAGTCGTATTGTGTACTTGATATGAGGTTGAATTTGGAGTTGTGATAGCAGAGCCAGTGACTATTATAAAATCTAGTGGGAATGAGAGAAAAAAAGTCACAATATACATTTGCATTGCAGTTTAAAAAAAAAATTTCAGTTAATGATCACATTACTCGCTTTATATTAAGAAAACTTTGTTTAAATGGTAATTCTAGCACAAGTCAAGTGTATATTTGTAGTGGTTTCCACACCTGTTGTGGTCACTGTTGACACTGGAGTGGAATATTTTACTGATGTTGTAGCTTCAGTTGTTGGCTGAGTTGCAGTTGTGTATTCTGTTGGTATTGCGGTTGGTTGAGTGCTCTCACGTGTTAGTGGTCGTGTTGTGGTTTTATATTCTGTTGTGCTCTCAGTTGTTGGTCGTTGTGTTGTGGTTGTGTCTTCCACTAAAGTTGTATGTGATTCTGTTGTGCCCTCAGTTGTTGGTAGTTGTGTTGTGCTCTGTGAAGTTGGTTGCTGTGTTGTTGTTTCATCCAATGGAGTTGTATATTCTGTCGTCCTTGTGGTTGGTTTGTGTGTTGTGTATTCTGTTGTGCTCTGTGAAGTTGGTGACTGTGATGTTGTAGTTGTTTCTTCCACAGGAGTTGTATATGCTTCTGTTATGTGCTCAGTTGTTGACTGTTGTTTTGTGGTTGTATATTCGGTTGTGCTCTCAGTTGGTGGTAGTTGTGTTGTGTATTCTGTTGTGCTCTCTGAAGTTGGCGGCTGTGTTGTTGTTCCTTCCATTGGAGTAGTATATGATTCTGTTGTGCTCTCAGTTGTTGGTAGTTGTGTTGTGTATTCTGAAGTTGGCGGCTGTGTTGTTGTTCCTTCCATTGGAGTAGTATATGATTCTGTTGTGCTCTCAGTTGTTGGTAGGTGTGTTGTGTATTCTGTTGTGTATTCTGAAGTTGGCGGCTGTGTTGTTGTTCCTTCCATTGAAGTTGTATATGAATCTGTTGTGCCCTCAGTTGTTGGTAGTTGTGTTGTGCTCTGTGAAGTTGGTTGCTGTGTTGTTGTTTCATCCAATGGAGTTGTATATTCTGTCGTCCTTGTGGTTGGTTTGTGTGTTGTGTATTCTGTTGTGCTCTGTGAAGTTGGTGACTGTGATGTTGTAGTTGTTTCTTCCACAGGAGTTGTATATGCTTCTGTTATGTGCTCAGTTGTTGACTGTTGTTTTGTGGTTGTAGATTCGGTTGTGCTCTCAGTTGGTGGTAGTTGTGTTGTGTATTCTGTTGTGCTCTCTGAAGTTGGCGGCTGTGTTGTTGTTCCTTCCATTGGAGTAGTATATGATTCTGTTGTGCTCTCAGTTGTTGGTAGTTGTGTTGTGTATTCTGAAGTTGGCGGCTGTGTTGTTGTTCCTTCCATTGGAGTAGTATATGATTCTGTTGTGCTCTCAGTTGTTGGTAGGTGTGTTGTGTATTCTGTTGTGTATTCTGAAGTTGGCGGCTGTGTTGTTGTTCCTTCCATTGAAGTTGTATATGAATCTGTTGTGCTCTCAGTTGTTGGTAGTTGTGTTGTGTATTCTGTTGTGTATTCTGAAGTTGGCGGCTGTGTTGTTGTTCCTTCCATTGGAGTTGTATATGATTCTGTTGTGCTCTCAGTTGTTGGTAGTTGTGTTGTGTATTCTGTTGTGCTTTGTGAAGTTGGCAGATGTGTTGTTGTTTCTTTTACTGGAGTTGTATATGATTCTGTTGTGCTCTCAGTTGTTGGGATTTGTGTTGTGTATTCTGTTGTGCTTTGTGAAGTTGGCTCCTGTGTTGTTGTTTCTTCCACTGGAGTTGTATATGATTCTGTTGTGCTCTCAGTTGTTGGTAGTTGTGTTGTGTATTCTGTTGTGCTTTGTGAAGTTGGCAGATGTGTTGTTGTTTCTTTTACTGGAGTTGTATATGATTCTGTTGTGCTCTCAGTTGTTGGGATTTGTGTTGTGTATTCTGTTGTGCTTTGTGAAGTTGGCTGCTGTGTTGTTGTTTCTTCTACTGGAGTTGTATATGATTCTGTTGTGCTCTCAGTTGTTGATGGATGTGTTGTGGTTGTGTATTCTGTTGTGCTCTCATTTGGTGGTAGCTGTGTTGTGGTTGTTTTTTCTACTGGAGTTGTATATGGTTGTGATGTGCTCTCAGTTGTTGATGGTTGTGTTGTGGTTGTGTATTCCGTTGTGCTCACAGCTGTTGGTAGTTGACTTCTAGTTGTTTCTGTAATTGGAGTTGTATATGATTCTGTTGTCCTCTCAGTTGTTGATGTTTGCATTGTGTGTTTGGTTGTTTTCGCAGTTGTTGGTGATTGTGTTGTGTATTTTGTTGTGCTTTGAGTTGTTGGTGGTTGTGTTGTGGTTGTGTGGGTCATTGCAGTTGTAGATGGCTGAGCGGTTGATGTGTAAGAAATTGTAGTCGTAGTTGTAGTCGTAGTTGTTGAAATGCAGACGATTTGTCCATCAAAGCATTTACTAAGAAAAAAAAAACTATAATGGATCTGAACGGTATGTGTATAGTTCTTTGATCTAAAATGTCTATCCAGCATTACAACAAGAGTCTACAAAATGGCTTACCAGCATTTATAGGGAGTGCAGATTTCATCAGGAGGTGACAACACTCTGTTCATGATGTTACAAGTGCAGTTGTCCAAAGTGGTACATTTACCTATGTTTTCATCATAATATGGGGTCTCCTCAGGGCATCTTGGATAGCAACCTGAAAGTTTCATGCAGTGCTTTATGAAAACCAAAAGACATTCGGGACATTTAAACTGTTTTCACATTTCTAATTTCAAGCAGTACTGACCCAGACAGCAACATAGTGTCGGCCCAGATCCAGGCCACATCTGGTTCTTGTGGATTCAACGCGTACCAGATGTGGGCCGGATTTGGGCCGACACTATGTTGCTGTCTGGGGATGCATTGCTGCAGTTCAACAGCTAGATCAAGAAGCAGGAACAGGAAAGGGGGAAAAAAATACCTTCAAGTTTTCTTGTAAAGTGTTTATTAGTGCCACAGGTCTTAACCTGGCCACAGGGATCGTAATGCCAGGTGCTTATGCCCACGTCATTGTAATAGTCACAATACACCGCTGTGGAGATGAACAAACACTGTAAACACTTGACTAACTCAATAATTACCCAGGTATGTCTTTACCAGGAAATGTTCATTCTGGGAAATTCTTAAATACAAAAGAATACAATACATACGACACAAATCTGGGGATCTCCAGTTGATGCAAACGTCCTTTGCACTGCATGCCTCTGCGTAAGCTGAGACAGCAGTACAGAAACCGAGAAACTTTCCTTCAAACTCACAAGAACAGGACTCCAAAACACAGGCCTGGTAATAAGGCTCTGGATCCACCTAGTAGTCATAAGAAACGCAACAATTACTGTCTGATTTCCTCATGGGAAAAAATCTGTTACGAGTACATTGTGTACCTGAACCAACAATCAAACCCAGAAACCGTTTGATGAACTTGAACAAAAAGGTCGTAATTGGTTGATATACAAACAGTGATTTGTTGTTAATGAACCAAGATTTCAAGCAACAAACATCAGAAACGACATTTAGTTGACTAACGTCACTGCAAGGTACCTTTAGATGGCAATCTTTAAAGGTGTCCGATATCAGGATCATACATCGCCGCTGAGCCCAGGCTGCACAGTAGGAGTGACGTTCACAGGGAAATATTTCATGGGTCACATCAGAGCATGGCGGATCTGCTCTCTTCCAACTATTCCCAAAGTCCAGAACACTGAAAACTTCGGAGGAGCTGCTCGTCAAAAGGTCATTTGTCACCTTTCCATCAAAGTTCCCACAGAGTCCCAACACTCGGCCCTAATGTTCCACAGTCAAAAGACAATATTGCATGTCTTTACCACTCAGTACATTTGATCCAGCAAAGTCTGCTTAAAGCTGCTGACTGAATGAATCGCGTATAAAGCCCACAGGAGTACACCAATAACTGTACGGGAAACTCACCCCTGATAAGTCACAATGGAATAAGGATTGAATTTAAAACTTAGACATTATTAAATGTGATTCCTTACTCTCCACTGGGACTCTAGTTGGATGGTGACCCTGGTGTGTTTGTCCCAGATTACAGTGATGCCCAGTCTGGGAGCTGTGATGATGATGTAGAGGCCCACAGTGTGGATGGAATAAAGGGGCTCTGCCAGCAATGCATTCCCTGCCTGAAATCTCTCAGTTACCTTCATATCGCTCAACATCAGAGTTACTGTACCCTGTCAAACATTGAACAACCACAATTTCATCATTATGCAGTACAATTTTTACTTGATAGAAAGTTGAAATATTGAGAACATCCAACAACAATTTATATTCACAGAAGATCATATACCAGGAGCTCCACTGAGATGGCGCGGGAACACGTCAAAGACTCGTCACAGCAAGGAACGCTCTCAGATTTAATTGCAAACTGTCCACTTGAACCTGCGTCCTTTTACAAGAAATATTAGAGGTTGAAAATGTTTGACATGTGTTTGAGAATTTTACTAGTACGCTAATTAAAAGTCAGGAATATGTTGAGCGATATTCAATCAGTTGAGCATTGGTTGTTTTTTATTCATATTTGACTGTCATTGTTTCATTTTATTGATTTAGTAGCTGTTTGACTAAAGAAACTTCTGCCAACATTAAAATTACTCTTACTGTGTGTATTACAGTATGTATCGAACTCACCCCCAAAGGGTAATTTATCACATGGCAAACACTCACCTTCACTAGGGTGTACTGACAGTGGCCATCGAATTTGTACCATTTGGAGTCAAAAGTGTGGTATTGCCCATTCCCGAAAACCTCACATACTCCTGAACATGCCTCATCAATACAAGACCACTCACCACCTCTACATGTGCTGTGAGACACGAAATCACAGCATTCACCAACAATTTTTTACTTCATTGTAATTTTATTGGGCAGGATATTTCAATTTTGTGCTTAATCTCTATTCATTAACGTTCCCAGTCTGGGGGGAAAACAGCTTTAGCATTCTGCAAAATATCTACTTGTTTGTACTACAAAAGCAAAACCATATGGGTTTAGAAGAATCATTCCTTTAAAATGTGTGAACCTAGAAGACAAGGCTCTTACCATATTTTACAGTTTGTCTCCACACTCTGCCCAGTTTCATACACCCTCCCACTGAATTCACAGGTGCAGTTTTCATGAGTCACACAACCACCATAATGATCTTCAAAAAGTCCCCCAGGACAATAACAGCCACTAATACAGCTGTTATCATCAGTCTGTGAATATAAAGCAGCAATTTCACTCCCACTCTTGCAAAAAAATGAACACTTTAATACTTGCATATGGTAAGATGTCATAATGTTTTATGATTTTTTTTATTTATTTTTTATGCTCACTACGGGTTTGGTCAAGCTTTCACAGGTTCTATGGGCCGTGTTCATGGGTATTTGTAAACAATCCACACAAATCTTTCCCACTGTGCAATCTAGAAAAAAAAAGGCATAGAAATCGTAGGTAAATGAATCATGGCAGTTGAAAATTCAAGGGTGGAGTTCACTAAGAAAGTAATCTTGCGATTCAGAGTCCGTATGTAAAAAAATCGGTGTTAAAAACCACTATGGAATTCTGCAGTGCCGCTTCAATTTAAATACACATACTAAATGGAGTACTAAACCAGAGCAGATAGCACCTGCAGTTTAGTGGATTAACCCCTGAATGTAGTATTTTGTCAAATGTAAAAACTTGAAAAAAAAAAAAAAAACTTACTGCAAATTTTGGGACAATGGAGTTGTCCATTTTCACACAGGCTGTAATACAAGACAAACATTGTATACACCGATTCAGCTCTAAATTGTACTCAAAGACATTGTTTGAGCCTTGTTTTTATCCTTACCATTGGCGTCCACCGATAACCACTGGGCCTGGAGGTGCGACGCCTCCTGGGTGGTGGCAGTTGCACAGTGAGCGAGGACTGCACTTCAGTTGGTTGCTCAGGTGAGAGTCTGATGTGCATCCACACCCCTCCACAGGGTCGTCCAGCACCTCACAGGTGGGATCAGGGCCCGAGAGGGAACGGCATGTACGGTTACATGCCAAAGTGGCGTAAGTAAACCTCAGGTTGCCCATGCAAGAAGGAACTGAAAAACACAATGATAATTTGTAGAGTGGGTATTTAGCCATACATAGATGCTCACAAATAATAATAATAAAAAAAAGTTATTTTCACATGGTGATGTAACCATAACAACTTTTTGTAATCATGTTAGTAGATACATCAACAAAACATGAAATGTACATATCACAAAAATGTTAGTTTATTTTTATTTTTTATTAGGTCGAATAGTGGATAGTAGTGATGGGTGCTTTCAAAACACTGCTTCGTGAAGCTTCGAAACCTTTGCTTCGAACCAGTGATTTGAAGCACGTATCAAACTGCCAAAAGTCATGTGATTTCAGTAAACGAGGCTTCGTTACTTCATAACTGTTTTAAAACATTTCGACATTTCAATGGCTTGCAGTCAGGTGGAGGCTATCTCAGGTCAATTTCATAAATAAAATAACATGTTATAAAGACACTTCATATTTAATGGTATTAGGTGATTTGCTAATACTATTTAAGTTTACTCTTTCAATATAGCATTTGCATTTGGTTTGTCAAAGGTGTTGTAACACTTCGTCTAGTATTCAAACCCAGACCAATTGCCACAAGATTTATATTATAAGAGTCAAGTTTTAAATAGGAAAAATATCGAAACACTTTGGTCATTTTTTTTTTTTTTTTGAGAAATGCTAATGGTCTTGTCCACTTCAATAATGTATGCTAAGCTATGCTAAAAGTGGTACCGCCAGAACCGGAGATCGGCTGAATGGATTCAAAAACGGTAAAACTCAACAGTTTAACTCTGGGGGAGTTGTAAAATGAGCCTATTTCCAAAAAAAAGTGGAGTATCCCTTTAAAAGAAATTAGTATTTTCGTATATTTTCTTTTTTTCACAAACGTATGACTTTTGGAAGTGGAATTTGATTACCATATTCAGTTTTAATAAAGTTGAATTAACGTAACCGTCTGTCATTTTTACTCTTCAAAGTGTACACTTACAGGTGTTGATTATAATTAGGCTAATTTACTGATAGCCCCATTATATAATAATAAGGATAAACAATATTTAAAAAGAATATAGTTGTCTAACATCTGACTAATTAAAAATGAATGTCAAAACATTAAATGCTAAAGGGGGATATCTATAGGCCTATCTAGCATTTTTTTTTTAAATTGTCAGAAAGTTACATCTCACGCAACAACGTTGCTACAGCCCTGTCGCATCTTACAATTCTACATTGTTACAACGTTGCGAGCATGTAGACAGCGACGTTGCCATAGCAGAAATGCAACGTGCCACAGACGGTGCCACAAGGTAAATGTGTTTGCTGGGAGTAGACGCAGGCACGCAGACACCACCCACCATGCTGTTAGCCCCAAACAAATCTAACTCCTTCTATCATTACCTTACAGATATCCTAGAGCAATAAGCCCACTACCTCCCCCTAGTGTCAGGTAGTAGCTTTACATACCAAAGGGAAACTAATGTGACAGGTCAAGACTGAAGACAGTATGTTTAAGCTGAGTTTTCGCTGCATTTACAACGGTTTGACCAGCAGGCATCACCAGTGTGTCACTTCTAAACAGTGAATCGTTTTGCAAAGCAATTGGTTGAGTTGTTTCAAAGAGTTGGAAAGCTTTGTTTCTCTCATAACTAGTGGAAAGTAATTCCCAACAAGTGTTTGAAGAGTTGAGGCAGAATAGACTGCAAGAGACTAGCAACCAACATAACATAGTTGAGAACAAACCAAGAACAACTGAAAATGAGGGCTACTGTATATAGATACACACACACACAGGGACAAACTATGAAGTAAACAAGACAATTGACAAGACACACAGGTGTGACACATAAGGGCAAATCAAAAACCATGGCAACTAACAACTCTTTGCGACATGAAAACCTAAATACATTTAAAAACAACAAACCTGAATGTCACCGTATTATTTTCACACTGAATAAAAGCTTGTCACTCACTGCAGTTTGTTTCTGATCTCCAGTCCTCAACAGTGATCCCTTGAGTTACACAGGCTTTTGCGTAGTTTCCAAAGGAGACACACAAACATTCCTGTAATGCAGCCGAGCACTGACATGTTCTCTTCACACAAGCCTGAGAAGAATCAAACACAGATTAATAACAAGAAAACAACCATGAATTTCAAAAGCATCAAATATATTTATGGATAGGAATATATCTGTACCTCGACAAAGGGTGAAACAGGTACATAATCGTGACACACAGCAAACACTCCTTCTGGATCTTTCAGTTGGTCACAGTTGTTCTCAGCAAATATCTCTGCAAATGGAATGAATATAAGTGGTCATCTTTAAAAATAACATTAATATTGTTAAGAAGTTAAGCTAAAACATCCTTACCATTGTCAGTGTTGATGCATCCAGTAATTGGGGTACAACTGCCCATTGACCAGGACTGGGCAAAAAGCTGAGCCGAACTTTCTATGATGCCACTAAAAGTGGTGAAGTCATCGCTGGTGTCATTATTAAAAGTTCCACAGAGACCTATTATAATAAAAATAAAACAAATTAAATTAAACTTTCAAATTTGATTGACTCTATATATAATTATATGTTTCTGAAATTCTTCATGGTCCTTGAGATTGGCTTGTTTGAATTATGACTTATTCAAACCTTTGGTATTTTCGGTTGGTGGCAAATTCAAATATATTTGAATTTCTGGAGAGATTTGAACTTGCATTTTCAGGCCAAATGAAGTCTGAACTTGAATGAACATTGAAGACTGCCAAAAGACTGTGGTTGACTCTGAAACAAAACCCAATAACATATACAGTATAAAGGAGAAAGTCATTTTTCAAACCTTGTGTTAATATTGCTGATTTCATCAAGCTTTTATATGAATATTTCAAACTTATTAATTCCAAAAGAGCCTACCAGTCTGTGACAGGTCACTGATTTCTATATTGTTCATTTGTATGCTGTTTGCAGAGAAGGTATATCTTTCCTGGAATGAAAATAATCTCATTATATTAATAATTATTTAGTTAAAATCAAATATCATACAAAAAATTATGCAAATGTAAAAAAGAAAAGAAAAAGGAAAACAGACAAACCTGATTGATATTAAGATATGCCTTTTCTATGACAACAGTTTGCACAGAGTACTGAATGTTCAATGTCCAGTTAAGCCCCTGGGTGACATACCAAATAGTATACATTTTAATATCAGTAAACCTCAAAATATAATATTTTAGTGAAATCTTTCCATGTCAGTTACCCTTGCAGCCACAAATGTGCATCTGTCAAGTACAGAATACTGTTTGCCATCAAATGTAGTGATGAATTGGCCCTCAATAATACACTTGGCTGGACATGTGTTTGTAGAACATGCCCATTTGCCTCTGATGCAGGTACTGAGGGGATAAAAACAACAAAAATGTCTCAAGCAGTTTTCTTTTTTTTCTACAGAATATATTCAAATCCCACATTTTTGACTTGCAAAGACTGTCTTTTAATAAACCTTGTTTATATTCTTAATATTAATAATACTATTATCAGGTTTATGTTCTGTTTTATGGACTATGCACTGTTCCTGTGCCCTTTGTTCTCACTTCTCATTTGTTGTCCTAATTTGATTTGGTCCCCCTGTTTATTGATTCCTGTCACCTCTCATCTAGTTTCCTTGTTAGCTCGTTATAATTAATCCCTCAGTGTCAGTTAGCCCATTGTCCTGTATTTCCTATGATGTTGTGTGCATTAGATTGTTCCCGGTATTTCTCCCATGCTTCTGATTTTATGCTCCTTGCCTGCCCTGAACGTAACAGAATACAGGACGGACCAAGGAAAGGTTTAAACATGGATCTGCCTTTCGTTCACCTCCTCCTTCTCACCCAGGATGATCTCTCCCTCGAGGACCACACTAGAGATTATTTTGGACCTGGTCCTCGCCTATCTTACTCACTAGCCTGACAGTGCTCTCGTTTCTTTCTTTTTCCTTTGACTAGACTTAATGATAACTTAAAATAACTTGTTCCCCTGCCCGTTTGTGGTCCTCGAGGGAGGTTTCGGGACTGTGTTGAGCTAGTACTCTTGCAGAGTGTTTCCTCTTTCACCATGGGTGAGGTGGAGGAGGACAATCTATGCCACTCGCACGCCATGGACCCCGAGCCTGAGCCCAAGCCCAACTCAGACCCTGAGCCGGACCCCAAGCCCCCCACAAACATAGAGCCAGAGCCTCAGCCTGCAGAGGACCCTGTGTCAGTGGAGAGTTCGACCCTGGAGCCAGTGCCTGCAGCCATGTCCATCCTAGAGGGAGTGCTAGTAGAGCTTGACATCCTGGAGCTGATTCCCATTCATCACCCCAGCCCTAAGGTTGAATTGTTCCCTCCAGTTCAAGTGAATGTAATTGACTCTCTGGTCCAGACCAGTTCCCTGGCCCTTCCTCCTCCACTGGTCCCATCCAACATCCAAGTCTCCTGCGTCTCCTCTGGTCCCACCCAGCTCCAAGTGTCCTTCATCGCTGACAATCCCGCCTAGCTTCCCTCTCCCACCTCCTCTACCTATGAAAGCCAGTTCCTTTATCCCACCTCTGCTGGCTCCCTTCAGTTCCGCGGTTCCTCTACTGTTTGCTCCACTCTGCTGCGCAGATCCGCCTCGGGTCTTACGGTCTCCAGCTCCACCTTTGCATGTGGATGCCCTGGCCCATAACTCCACCATGCCCAGTTGACCAATTGGCTCCTCACCACATCAGCTCCACCTGGGACCGTCGTCCTCACGGCTTCACCGGGCTTCCTTGTCCCGGCTCCACCTTGGTCTATTGTTGCTCTGCCTAAGGCAAGGACTTCCAGTCCTTTGGATGCAAAATGTCCCTCTACCCCTTCAGCTTTGTTGGGCTCCGCCTCCCCTCCGGCTCCACCTTGGTCCCCGGTTCCACTGGTTCTGCATCAGTCCTCTGGCACCCTGGCTCCGCCTCTGCCGCTCATCACCACGGCTCCACCTTGGCCTTTAGGATTTATGGTGACATCCGGTCTCTGTTTTTCCTCTGCCCCACCTGGGTCTCTTGCTCTCTTGGCTCCACTGCTGGTGGTCGTATACTCTGGGTTGTCAGCTATTTCCTCCCTCCATCATCTCCTCCATGGCTCCTCCCTCCCCCGACTCACCCTTAGACTATTCCTCCCATTCCCCCATGAACTCTTCCTTCCCCAATTGACCTCAACCCACCACCACTCCCGGAAGGGGGGAATGAAGTCTGGTCTATGTTCTGTTTTATGGACTTTTAGTTTCTTTTTCATTGTTTCTCTGTGTTTCTGTTCCTGTGCCCTTTGTTCCTGCCTTAGTTTGTTGTCATAGTTACTGATTTGGTCTCCCTAGTTATTGATTCTATTCACCTGTGTCCCATCTAGTTTCCTTGTTAGCTCTGCATATTTCAGCCCTCAGTTTCAGTTAGCCGATTGTCCTGTATTTTATTATGGTGTTACTTTAGTTTGCACCTTTTATTTCTCCTATGTTTCTGTTTTTGGATTATCATCTTTGTTTTGTTTAATAAACTCTATTATCTATTTCATCAATAATATAAATAGATTTTATACAACCAAAATGATCTAAAATCTTGTTGCCAAATCATTAGCTGTCCAGAATTGGAGGAGGAAGCTATTGAGAAAAAATATATAGTTCTCACCAAGTCTGGCACTTTGTTCTGCGTTCCTGTCCTGGAGCATACGTTTTCTTTGCATGTACACATGGACATTCTTCCACATTTATGGAATGGTAACCATCAGCATGATCATTCAAGACCTTTCCTGAAATTGCGCGAGAAGAAAAATGTTGCAAATTATATTAAAATGGATATTATAATTAAAACTAGATTTTTGCATCTTCTGAAAAGTGACCGGTTATTTGAGGGATCATTGATTTAAGTTAAATACTTAAGGTATGAATTAAATTAAAATAAAATATCTGTTGAAAACACATTTCCTTTTTTTAATGCTAATCAAGGACCAACCTCCAGCAGGCAGGCAGGTGCTAGTAAATCCTGTGGTGTAATTCTGTGGGTTGCTGCAGGTTGGGGGGAAAGCGGGACCCATCTCCTCATAGTATAGGTCTCCAGGACAAAGAGGTTTGGCTGCAAACAAGATAAATTCTTACTATTTCAAACATAGTTAAAAAAAATGTAAACAAAAATGAATATGATAACATTTCTCATTAAGTTGTTATAAACTGTGGTTCTTACAGCAGTTGGTTTTTGATCTCCATTGTTTCCAAAATTGATTGGAGCTCCCACACATAAGCGAGATCTCTTTAAAATAGGAGCAATTTGCTTCCTGATGCCACAAGCCATTCATATGTTTTTTACATAGATCCATGTAGCTTTTATATTTTTTGCCGAGACATTCGTAAGCATGGGACAAAACATCACAAACCTAAACAAAAAATACAGATATGGTTAGTAGACAATCAATGCATTTTAAAGTAGTTTATAGCTTATAATAGGGTACATCATGTAATCCTTTGCATATTTCACAAATATAAACCATAAAACAATGCATAATTATAAAGGATAACTTTATAATTCGTTTTAAGTACAGGCTTCATAGAAAGCACAACACCGTAAACAGTTCTGGGTAGCAGCTGATTATATGTAATCTGGATTACGTAATCAGATTTTTTTTTTTTAAATACTTGTAATTAGATTATATAACATTTTAAAATACTCATAATCAGAATACAGTAACTTTTTTATTGATTACATAATTACTTAATATTCACAAAATGGCAAAAAAATGCCAATTTAAAATGCAATTTTTCTTTCTCTTTATATTTTTCATCAATATGGTACAAGATTATACTATTCAAATCAATGGTTTAAACCAGTTAGGTGAAAAGTAATCTAAAAGTAAGCAACAAGTAGTCAGATTACATGACCTAAAATGCGCAATGTAACAGATTACATCACTAACGACAATTTGTATCATGTCATTTGTATTCAGTAACGGACTATAATTTGTAAGTAATCAGTAATTAAGTAAAACAATGCTACGGTAAATGTCCCCTTACTTTATTATGGTAAATTTAAGTCCAGTTCAGTTCTGTTGCTACAGTATTTTTATGGTAAAGTGCTGGCAACTTTACCAGCTTTTTTAACCTCAAATTTCATGTTAGTTTTATCAGTTTACTGTACATATTTGAAACAGAAACTCACTTTGTTTTCCCGTATAACAGAGTCTTGTGTCAGGCATTGCCCATCAGAGAGAACACTGGCAGATATCAGCTGCTGCATAGTTTCTATGAACAAAACACCATAAAAATTATTCTACTATTATATCTTGACACTCGTTATTTAAACAGAGCATACCCATTGAGCACACTAACCTGAGCTGTTCTGGTGCCCACAAAGTCCACTCACACCCTCCACTAAAACCTGGTCCAGTTGCACCTATAAAAGATTTGCTCAAAGATTACATATAAAATATAGTAAGGTCAGAGTTGCCTTATAGAGTCGCTATAATGCAACAATCACATATTTTTGGTTAAATTATGTTAATATTTTAAAGAATTTCCGACCTTTGTCTTTAAAGGAAACTCACCCCGAGTGAACTGACGCCATTAGAGACACTGTACCAGGTGACAGACAAAGGCAAAACTTTGCTTTGGAGCCTGGTATAGATTCCATAATGAAACACATACTGATAGGTGTGGTCGTATGGAAGGGGAATTCTGCGAAAAGATCAACACATTTTTGATATTTTATGTGTGCCGTAAAAAAAAAAAAGCAGCTGCATTTAAATGTTTTAAAGTACAATCAACTTGGAAGTTCAAGTCATCTCAACTTAAATTACATTAAACTGACTTTAAAAAAATGAGTTGAATTTTGTATAAATGTAAAAACACGTTCTCATAACTTATTTATCATATTTTTTTTACAGTTATACTAACAAAAATATTTGAATCAAGAAATACTTCTAGAAATGTGGCCCATATGGCTCCAAAATGGTATCTTGCATGATATAGTATAAATAAAACATTGAAATATGTTTTTGATTCATTTCATGTCAAGCTTTTATATATTCTAGCAAAAACCCAATTCGGGAAAATCTGTAATTTCGGTAGTCAAATATTTGATTTGCTAAATTAAAATCGAATTATTGATATATGATTTATAACATGAGGTGAAACCAATATTAAATAGCACACACAGCAGCTTTTAATGTCATAAAATCATAAATACAAGAAATTACAAGACAATTACAAGTAGTTTTATACAAATACAGAAATAATCTAAATTTAGGTCAAAAATGTGAGTCATAAATTGCCAAACCTGCTGCCTTCCACTGTGACAGTGTTATTGTGAATGAGGGTCGTGATTTTATTGACAATGATCTCCACTCTGTCCATCAGGCCGTTCGGTCCACGCTGGACGATGATATGACAGTTCACTCCAGCATGAGTGAACCGTGTGAGCGTTACAGGACATGTGGACTTCAGATGAAATGCGGTTTTGTTGAATGTATAAAAGACGCCGCTGCCATACGTCTTACACTCATCTAGAAAAAAAGAAACCAAAAATAAATAGGACCAAAGTAGACATAACAGTTCATTACTAAAATGTATGTATTTATTGTGACAAAAGGTTTGTCTCATAACAAAACCAAGTCTATTTTTTTTCCTCTTTATAATACTAACACATTTATAATTGGACATGTAACCAAGCATGTATTAAAGAAGATAAAATGCAATACTTTCTTACTTTGAGCTGCAAACCCAGAGTAGATGTGGCCTGCGAATAAAATCAGAAAAAAGTTTAAATTCCTTTTTTTTTTCCAATTAACTAGATTAATCATTAGTCAATTTTTAATAAATTAAACTATATAAATCATTTAAGTAATCAAAATGAACCAACCTGAGAATACAACAATTATTCCTAAAAATATTGCCTTTTGCAGAGCCATGCTATCTGATAAACCTCTGCTCGCTGGTGCATCAGGACTACAGACATGTGTCTTGAAGCCCTTTTATGATGAGATCCACTTCACCAATTTGAATAGCATGAGGAAATAGCCAATAGATTAAACATTGACTATATTCACATGAACTAATAACGGGGTATGGAACACAAGAGCAAACAAAGAGCTTTTTATATGCTCTTATTTGACAACTGTAGAGAAAATCCAAAGATTACTGTGGAAATCTCTTTATTTGACACTGCTTTGTTGTTTACCTCCAATGGCACGTATGGGTCATTCTCTATTTGACATAGTTCCTGGTTATGCTCTGTGAACTGGTGGATTTGATTACAGGAACTATGTGAATAAGATCCCATAACTCACTCATCACGGAAAACGCTAATCTTTTTGTTTCTTCAAATGTGCATTTAAAGAACATACGCAACTCTAATCCAAAACATTCCAAAAGTTTTTTGGTTTTTTTTGCAGCGATTACGTGCAAGAAGCATTTTTGGTTCCTTGAAGAACCTTTCAGTGACCAGTTCTTAAAATAACCATTTTTCTTTTTCTCAGTTAGATCATCTATTAGAACCCTTTTCCACTATAAAGAACCTTTTGTGCATTGGATGTTAAAGCTTCTTCGATGCCAATGAAAAACCTATGCATTTACTTTCTTACCATCCTCAAAATGATTCAAGAAAACAAAAACAATGTTTGCATTGTGATCTTGTGCATCATTTATGCCCTGTTACCAATCTTACAATCAATTTACTTGATTCTCTTTTCATTTCTTTCTTTCTTCCCCCCCATGAATAGGTAAATTATTACATCCTTCTGCTCCAGGATAAAACAGACAAATTCATGCCAAGAACCAGAGAAGATCCTTATGGCAACATGACTATTAAATTGTGACAGTTAATTAGATATTAGATAAATATTAGCTAAAACAAATAAAGCTGGTTAAGGATATCCTTTAGAAGTCTTCAAAACAGCATTCACCATGGCACTATTAAATGAATGGGTTTATTTTATTTTATTTTAGTTTTCAACTAAACTACATTTTCTTGAGTCTTGTTTAATTAGTAGCATATGCAATGTAAAAGAAAAGGATTTTTCGAAGCTGTAAATAAAACAAATACTGGGTAACACTTTACAATAAGATTTCATTTGTTAACATTAGTTAATGTATTAACTAGCATGAACTAACAATGAGCAATACATTTGTTACAGTATTTATTCATCTTTGTTAACATTAGTTAATAATAAAAATATAACTGTTCATTGTTTGTCATGTAACTTCACAGTGCATTAACTAATGTTAACACAAATAACTTGTGATTTTAAGAATGTATTAGTAAATGTTGATACTAACATTAACTAACATTATTAAATGCCGTAGATGTATTACTCTTTCTTAGTTCGTTAACTAATATTAATAAATGAGACCTTATTGTAAAGTGTTATCGATTACTGAAATACAAAAATACTATTTCAGCCTTTCTTCTTATTTCATGTTTAATTCAGTGTTGCTTGCTGTCTCTTTGTAAATCATTTGTGGAATTTAGCAATTTCTTCAAAGTCCTACACCAATTTTTATTAAGTTGTGAAACTGTGAATAAATGGTGACCATTCAAATAATCTGCAATATATAACTTTACATAATTTGGTTGAACTTTATTTTACAGTACGTGCACTTACGTGTACTTACAGTGTACTTACCAAAGAAAGTACTGGGTAATTAAAGGTAACTACATGGGTTAAAGTTAGGTTTAGGGGTAGGTTCAGGGTTAGTACCTTATTACCCAGTTATTGTTATTACTATAATAAGTACGTGTGTAGGCTATGGGGAACAGGACTGTAAAATAAAGTGCTACCCATGATTTTTTCCCTTTATTCTTGAAAAAAAAAAAACCTACCTATATTATGTAAACTACCATTGAACACTAAAGCAACTGCTAAACCTGTAAAAAATGTTGCCTCACAATAATCCACAATTGAGGGCAAGTTTTAGCCTATACGTGCCATTTACAAGGTCTATTCTGTCCAGCAGGTGGCAGTATGTCTGTTTGTCTGGCGTTGTTGTACGTTCAGTCTATCACACTTATTTTGTACTCTTATGGTAAACAGAGATAGAGATTAAGAAGGTCTCCAAAAAAATCAACCCGCAAAACTGAATCCAAATGCAAAAAGTAATGTTTTCATGCCCATTAGAGATTAAATGACTCGTTTTTCAGAATAATCATCAACAATCACTTCATCAACTCGAGTGTCCAAGCCTATCCGTGTTCTCAGTGAAATCGTGCTGATTTACCTATGATCAATTCCTATAATCTAAATAACCACTACTCATGGACATACTCATCCCAGAATAGCACTCTTATCGGGAGAAGTCGGTAACCTAGGTGACTGTTTGAAAACATGAAGGGTAGAATTACTGAACACTCACTAAAGGCTTCTGGTGGAAAACTGCTGAACAATGATAACGAAAAACGATGAAACAACGAACATTTGTCAGCAAGATTAGAAGCAAAATTTTGGGAGATTCTTCTGTTTTCTTTTCATGTCGTTCATTTTGAAACGAATCTTTAATATGACTCGGGACTACCTTCGGGTCTGAGTCTTTCGTTCTTCCTGTCAGTCCCATAGAGGCCATGCTGTCGGTACCGGAAAGATAAATGATTACTTCACCTCTTGAGTCTCGGGTCTGATTCTTCAGAGTCTTTCTTTCTTTTGTCACGTGATGAACGAATGACTCGAACTCGAAGACTCAGAAGATGAACTAATCAATTCTGTATCCGGTACCGACTGCATTGCTTAATTTTTTTTAGCTCAACTGTCAGAATTGAACGCACTGTATTGTGGGAAATCAAAGGCAGAGAAGGATACATCAATGCTGCCTTCAGAAATCGATCAGATGAAGGTATTTCAGTAGACAGGAAGTGAAGCTAACAGTGGATTCAGACGTGCCTTGATACCTTTGTACCCTGGAATGCTTCCATCGAAGGAAGTATTTTTACACTTTTACGCCCTATTCGGACGGGACTAGTTTAACAACAGAGAGGTGGAGTAATAATTACCAAAGCTTCTCTGTGATTTTAGTCCCGTCCGAATGTGCCATCTCAGTAATCAATACGGACAATGTCAGTAAATATTACGGCGACTTTTACCTTCAGTAAAAAGGTCCGTAAAAATTACCTCAGGTAATACTAATCCCGTGCGAATAGACCCGCTGTAAATATGTACATAAATATTTAGTCATTTCGTGTTCAAAACATAGACTGTAAAAAAATAGGTTCAAAAGTATTTTCCACGTTTTTTCAAGTATGGAGATGTTCTAGACGTCAGTTGCGTTCTAGACAATGGGACAAGTCTGTGGCAAAACTCAAGTGATCAGAAAGAAGATCGAAAGCACTTGTTAGAGGCACGAAACATCTTTTAGCGTTAGATAAGTGCCTATTACCAACACAATCCAATCTAAAAGTTAATTAATACATCATTCGACCGGTCATAACAGTTTTATTAAATAAAATATAGGTTATATATGTTTTGCGCACGTGATATCAGGAAGCAGCTTAATACGCACATGACGACAGGAGGTTGACGGCGATGCGCAAAATCGATTTACCCTCCCACTACTGCTAGTTTTACTGAGATATCTTATCCCGTGCGAATTGGCCATTAATATTACAGACGTCCTGTCGTAAAATTACATTACTCCATCTACCCTTGTAAAGTTAATCCCGTCCGTAGACGCAGACATGAAACGTGACGTACTGTATATCAGAGTGAAACGGCTTCTCGAACAAGAAAACATGTAAGGCAGGACTTGAGTTTGTCCATCTATTAGATGGTTGAGGTTTGCTATTGATCTATCACCTTAATGCAGTGCATACAAATATTATCTTCACATCTAGGTCTTTATTTTTAAACCAGCTGTCTGACGGGCCTATTCACCTACATCAAAAGAAAAATGTGGTTGAATTAACTGATTGCGCAGCTAAAACTGATCTTGTCCCAGTTGAATGCCACTAATACGACATTAAGAAGGAAGAGAAGATGAAAGGCAGAGACTCTCAACCTCATAATAAGCTCTTTTGTAAAGAGACGGATTAACCATTCTTTACCAATACAAGCTCAAGAATGTGTGTATGAATACTAGGATAATCAGATAATAAACTATCAGCAAATACTGATATGCCATTATCAACAACTCTGTGTATGAAGTCATTAAGAGGCACGTCTGCGGTATGAAACCACTCAACTCATTGATTCAGTGGACCAAACAGTATCTTTCAGAGATTGTAGCATCTGATGTCAGCTATTCCCCACTGTACTTAAATCAATACAAATAACAACATTAATTAGCACTTCAGATGATCAAACAGATTTGATCAACAGCTCCACTCAGAAATATTCCATTTCCTGCTCCACGCTCTTTAGTGAGAGAAATCAGAGCATTCAACCTGCTCTTAAAACCTGCACTTCCATTTTCCAAGAGCAAACTCATGCTTTGACTTTCAAAAATACCCAACCCGATCTCATAAGACCACTTATGACCATTTTACAAGGTGGCGATTTTATTTGAATTCGTAGAAAGTGAACTTAAACCTAACCCTCAGTGTGGCGTGAGCAGATCTTACAGAGATTCACCTTATCCAATTATCCAACAGTTCACCAAAACATAAACTAGTTACGAAACTGCATGAAAAACCCTCTCCTGGCCCTCTTGGAGTGAGACTTGACCAATCAAATTTTGGGACATGGACCAGAATGTATATTGCTAGAATGTATATGTACCGTATACAATAAAAAAATGTATGAATGAATAAATGAATGAATGATTGAACGAATGAATGAATTTATATCATTTACATCCATTTGTATTGCACATATCACGATCACGCCAGGCTCTCCCTCACTAATTCGGTGGTCACATTTACCAGAGTACTGATTACGGACTACATTTCCCATGATCCTCACTGGCACTTAACCATGTGCACCTGACAGTCATCAGCCCTCATCATCAGCACTATAATTAGAGCACACACAATCTTAGTCATTGTCTGCCTTGTCTGATGCTACAGGCTACTTCCCGGCTACTTCCCGGCTACTTCCCGGCTACTTCCCGGCTACTTCCCGGCTACTTCCCGGCTACTTCCCGGCTACTTCCCGGCTACTTCCCGGCTACTTCCCGGCTACTTCCCGGCTACTTCCCAGCTACTTCCCAGCTACTTCCCAGCTACTTGATTCTGTTTCCCCCGATTGCTAATTCTGTGACCTCTTCCATGTCGATCTCCAGACTTCTCAGTCATCCCCAGACCTGCAAGTACTCTTAAGTTGTTCTCCAGACATCCCTTGTCTCAGCGTGTTCCCTTTGTGTGTGTGCGTGTGCTTATCCAAATATGTCATCAAAAGACTCAAAGTTAACCATAAACCTATATTCTCCCCATCTGTGATTTCAAGCATCACCACTTACAGTACCTGTTTACTGATTGGGTTCTTGCCCAAAACTGTTAATAAACGTCTTGTTTGAGTTTTAGCTACCTTGCTTCCTGGTTATTTTAGTCTTTAGTCTGAGTCTGTAGGCCTACGTGACACATAAAGTTAATGTAATGCATATTTGTCAGTTATAAATACAATTTCTGCAGTCAAAAAATAATTAAAAACATGCAATACTATTTATGTATTTGGTTTTAATTAAATAATCATATTTTCAAAATGCATTTATTCAATTGCTTAGAATCCGCATAAATCTGTTCATTATGAAACAATTAAATGTATTCAGTTCAAAAGTATGAACATAGTTAAAAGTTCAAATGAGATTGAGAGATTGAACGAAATTCCATTTATTCATGATAAATATATAAACCTGGTTATTGTGTATTTAAAAGATTCAGTTTATAAGTAGGCTACTATTTACATAAATATTACCCGTTTCATTTAAGGCTGACAAATATGCATCACATTGTTTATCAGTTTATGTTAGCACTATTTTACAAATACATAATGTACAAATATTATTAGTTTGCTTGTGCACTTACAGTTCAGTGTGTTAGGCTATATATTCAATCGTTTTTTTTATACAATATGTCTTTTATATTCAATTATTCTCTGTGGGACATGGCCAGTTCAGAAAATTCCAACTATGATTTGAAAGGGAGCCAAAAATGTTACATTCTGGCTTTGCCCAATCATGTTATCTACTATATGCATTCTGAAATGTTTTAATAAATAAAGTGTTTAAATAAGACAAATCTATTTAAGATCGCAACTGTTTCTCCAAAAATCTATTAAATGGAGACCAAATGGAGACGTATACTACGGTCGATTGGTTAATAGATTTTTCTCCTGATAAAAAAAGACCCCGGTAATCTCACATGTGCTTCCTCTGTTCAGATATGCCAAAAGCCCTATAAACAAAAGTTGCCAATCTTAATATAACACATTTCTCATCAGAACTCTTCCAAGACCAAATTATCTCAGCAATGATATCCATGTTCATTGGATATCTGATCTAATCTAAGCATTGTCTAATTTGTGTCCATTTGTGTTTCCAAAGAATTTCCGGAGATCTAAATGAAACATAAATGAGAACTTATCTTCCTGAGCTATGAAAGAGTAACCTCTGATCAATACCGTTTTCCCATAGGAACTGCTAAGATGCACCATTACAGCTTAATGTCAGTTTTATCATGTTTAATGCGGACAGACCCAGTTGTCCACAGAGTCTTGCAGTGAAACTGAAGCAGGATTTTGTGGCAAAATGTACAGAGTTTCAGCTGGTTTGCAGTGAAAAAAAATCTAACAAAAGTAACTGAAATAGCTTGACACAATAAATGTTTCAAGTAGTTTCCCCAAATTCAAATGAAAATGCAACTTTTAATGACTTCCGCAGTCTTAAAATTATACTACCCCTTGAATAAATCCCTCACAAATGCACAAATCGGCAAAACAGGTGTTGTCTCAAGCACACCTGATGCAACTCATCAAGGGCTTCATTAGTTGCAGCAGGTGTGCTTGAGCTAGAACACATGAAATGTCTGAACTGGCTAGGTTTGTTGAGTGTCAAGTTTGACTGCATGTTTGGCTGCGTTGAGACTTGGCATTAACATGCGATCACCGTGATCCGATCAAGCAGATCGGATCCCAAGCCAATCAGGACACGGTGCGTTTACACCTGTCCACATCACGTGGCTTCTGTATCTGGATAACAGATCGGATCTCGCTTTTTTCTCGCACAAAAAAAAAAAGGATGGCTCCAGTGCAAAGTCGACCCTGAAGTGGTGGGTTTTCTTTTAAAAACAGTTTTCAGTCGGGGGACATTTTACAAATCTCGCAAAATGAGGAGGATGAAGAGGCTGCAAGTGCTAATAATGTGGATAGATGCCGGAAACGGTACAGAAAAAAGTATGGGTCCGAGAACGTTGCCAGCTGTGGTGGGAAAAATGCGCGTTCTTTACAGAAAATGAATGGTTTTCAGTCGGGGGACATTTTACAAATCTCGCAAAATGAGGAGGATGAAGAGGCTGCAAGTGCTAATAATGTGGATAGATGCCGTAATGGAAACGGTACAGAAAAAAGTATGGGTCCGAGAACGTTGCCAGCTGTGGTGGGAAAAATGCGCGTTCTTTACAGAAAATGAATGGTTCTGCAACTTTCGGGTGTGAACTGCGAAGGCAAACATTTCAGTATATTTGTGACGTAGCTTATATGAACTTCGCACTCGATTGAATCGCAAAACCACACAGCTCTCAGTTCTGGAGAGAGGAGGGGGAATAATGACAGTGGGCGAGCTTTTGTGTGACGTCTCAGTTACGATGGCTGGATTACGTTTACATTACACTGAGATTCGATCACAATGCGTCCTCGACTTTGACTTTATTCTCAAAATATTACGACTTTATTCTCGTAATGTTCTAACTTTAATCTCGAAATGTTTCGAATTTAATCTCAAAATATTTCGACTTTATTTTCAAAATATTTCGAATTTATTCTCAAAATGCTACGACTTTATTCTCTATTTTTTTTTTTTTTTTCGGATTTTCATTTAACGTTGCGGTTCAGGGTTTTCGTAAAATTTACATATTTTGATTTTATATATATAAATAAATAAAATGTTATATAATAATAATATATAATGTAGATATAATAATTGTAGGTACAAGTTCACATGTTAATTAATACTTTAATGAGAGACAAGAAAACATAATGCTAATAAATATATTTGGCTTACATGAAAGGCTCGAGCAAGACACTTGACTTGACCATACCAGAAATAACCCCCAGACTTTATGTATTTTCAAGTTCTCTTTTTATAGTTTATGCATTTTTTTTAACGTGTTTTGAGGTTACTGTTTACAAAAAGAAGCTCTTTGGCCAATGGATGTATTTCTCTGCACGTGTGTTGGTGTGTAGCTCTTTGACGCCATGCGCACGTCACAGTGACGCTAGGCTCTACCTTTCCCTTCACTCTCACCACTGTCTGATCCTCCAGACTTCACGCACAGAGCAGTGACACAACTTGTCAGGATTCAGACTAGACAGACCATTCATAAAACCCCATCAACAACACAACAGCACGTCAAGCTGGACTCATATCAGCACACTTCTCCAGTTCATCCTCTTTGACTTACTGTGCGCATTGTTTTCTTGCGGTTTTTCACTTATGTCCCTCAAATCCAGCGATGACTATAATCTGCGTAGTATGAGCAATCTGATGGGCGAGAGGAGGAAGAGAGCGGCGGATGATGGAGAGCGGAGTCTCATCAAGGCTCCGTCCAGCGCGAGCCTCAGCAGCGCCGGTCCCTCAGCAGCGTCTCCTGCGCCCGCGGACCTGGAGCGCGCGGCGCGCAAACAGTTCCAGCAGGATGTCACGCCGGGTTTCGTCTACGTGCTGGCCGCGTTCTCCGCCATCGGAGGCTTTCTGTTCGGCTATGACACCGGGGTGGTGTCCGGGGCGATGCTTCTGCTCAAGAGGGACATGAATATAACTGCCCTGTGGCAGGAGCTGCTGGTGTCCGGGACTGTTGCTGCGGCGGCGGTGTCCGCGCTGCTCGGCGGGTGTCTCAACGGGTTGTTCGGGCGGCGGGTGTGCATCCTCACGGCTAGCTTTGCCTTCGCCATCGGGGGGATAGTGATGGGATCTGCTCCTAATAAGGAGGCACTGCTGGTTGGACGACTCATAGTGGGACTTGGGCTTGGTAAGTGAGACACACCTGACCGATGGTGATGCATTCAGTGTGCAGAAAAGTTACTATGAGGTTGTTTTGTGTCTTGCTTTTTTATTGTATTTCAATATTCAGTTGATTTATGGGTAACACTTTACAATAAGGTTCCATTTGCAAGCATTTGTTAACTACAATAGTTAACATGAACTAACAATGAGCAGAACTTCTACAGCATTTATAAATCTAATATGTATCAAATGTTACACATCATTAATGCACTGTGAACTAATATGAACATGAATATTTTTATTAACTAACATTAACAGACGTTAATAAATGCTGTAAAACATATATTAATTGTTAGTTCATGTTACTTGAGACCTATTGTGAAGTGTTTACTATTTATGTAATTTAAATTTTAAATTGTAATGATTATATCAAACAGGTATACATATTTAAGGTTATGTATAGTTATAGCTACATGTTAGCATGTATTTACTATATGAGTAAATAATGACTAACCCTAAACCAAAACAACCCTAACATTAACTCTATAATAAGTACATAGTTAATTAATATTACTCATTACTTATTTGTGTAAGTGCAATATAACAACGTCAACTTAAAATTAAGTGTAACCAATATTACTACATTGTAAAAAGTGGTCAATATACAGTTTTTAAAGAGCTATATCTACCTAAGTTCTTAAAAAGCCTAAATGTATGTTTATCTTTATGTAGTCAGGTGAATTTAGTCTTATTAAATTACATTTTGGACTTAACCAAATAAATAACTTTATAAAGTTACCTAACAAAACAGAGTCTGCATTTTTTTGTTTGTTTGTTTGCTTTAAATAAACAGCATTTTTAGAAATCAGCGACATTGTGTTTTGTAAATGGACGGTACAATGTTGGCTCTTTTCAAACTCATTTCAGACTGTTTATTTTGAAATTAGTCTGGCAATTTCGTCCCTGTGGACTGTGGAAAATAAACACATTTCTCAATAGTTTATGTAACATATGTTTATCAACAGTGTTCAATGGTCTATATAAAAGCATCACAGGATAACTTTTTGTATTTAATTTGGTATTCATTTGCTTATTATTTGTGTTTGTACTTTGTACCATGCTTTTTCTTTTCTTAAAACATCATATGTCTCAAAAAAGGGCCAAGCCAAGAATGGCAAAATATTTAGTGGTCTTGTATTGGTCTTAACCATTTTAATCACAAATCACTGGTCAGGAAATTAGCAAGAATTGCACAAATACTGTAGATAAATTAACTTAGCACTGAATAGCCTTCCCCATCTTGCAGACAGCTTTTTACAGGAAAAAGAGTCTGTGTTGTTCCACTCAATGTTGATGGCTTCAAAAAGTTCATGAGTTGTTGAAAAATGTCTCCTAATATGAGACCAAATATTCACTATATGGTTTAAATCTGGACTGTGACCAAGGCCAAAACATGACCCTGATGGACTTGTGCTCAAACCACTTCTTGGTTGAGCCCTCATGTAGCGCAAACTTATGAATTGAAATTATTTGTTGCATTATTTTTTGAGTGGAACCTTGGCAAACCGGAAGTGCCTTCCATAATATAAAATGCAGTAGGCTCATTGGGAAAAAGTGGATTGGAGTTTTTGTTTTTCGTCTTTGTGTTGTCATGTGGCCTTGTTGTGAATTACCTTTTTTGGATACCTTTGTTCTCTTGCCTCTTTGTAATGAGATGAATAAGAGTGTGTCTCTTTCACATTTCCTTTGTGTCCTTTGGGACACAGCTCTATTCAGGAAGTCCTTCCAGCTTAGTAAGAAAACACTTAAGCACGAGACAGTTCTCTAATGTATTTAGACGACCCGGGATGTGGGCAGTAACATGTCATCTCACAATGGAAGAAATCAAGCTATACCGCCATTAAGTTTAGCCTCTTCCTCACCCATGGCCACTCCAGCCTGTTATTCTAGCTCTCCTAACTATTGGAACTGATTCCTTCTGCAATGCTCCTTAAGCTTCGAGATGCAGCCCAACCACTTCCTGACTGAGAAGGCTAAGGTGGCATATATCATCTCTTCTCTGCCCGACAAAGCAGTGGGGGTTGACTATCTTGCATCAGGGCGGTCCAGTTCTCCAGGCCGCGAGTGCTTTCATCCAACAATTCTGGGAGGTGTTCGAGCAACCAATGCGGGACTCACATGCCGGTAAGTAGTTTTCGCGTCTGAGACACTGAACCTTGTTTGTGGTGGAATATGCACTGTGCTTCTTCACCCTTGTAGTGTTTAGCAGTTGGACTGAGCCAGCCCTCCTCACCACCTATCATCAGTCGGTAATTCCTGCTTTACAGAGGAAGCTCGCAGGTAAGGATGATGCAATGGGACTGCAGTGGTTTATTCAATTTGTGTGGATAACCAACTGAGAGCATGCCCTGACAAGCTGTATTCCAGTTATCATGGTGAATAGTCCTCGTTTTAGAAGTCTGCGCTTCAGATGCTTTCCCTGGAGGAGACAATGCAGATTAGTTCCAACTAGCTGACTCTGGATGAGCAAAGGAGGATATAGGATGAGCGGTTATGTTAGTACTTAATAAACACCATTCATTTTCCTGCCATCCATACCTCACCCTTCACATTGAGATTAACAATACAGTTCTATCCATACTCCTGCCCTCATATAGTCCAGTGCAGCAGGAAACTTCATAGCCCAATCACTCCTCTCTAAATTTAAAATTCAACTGACAAAATTCAGCTCCTTCATCAATACACACATTGGTTCAGGATTCATTGCTCATCAAACAGGATCACTCACCCTCCAACCCAGGGACCTCCACAGATAAACACTCTCTTTATTGTTAATTCCACAGACGATGTTGTACTGGGACTGCCATGGTTAATTTATCACAACATGACTCTTTCTTTGGTCCACTCGAGATGTGAGCAGTTGGGGTGAGCAATGTTTTAAAGGTTGCCTGTCTATTCCTGTTTGTCCCACCACCATTGAAAGTCCCTTGATCCTTGTAGAATTGACATTCCCCCTAAGAATCAAGCCTTCCTTGAAGTGTTCAGTCCACTCCAAAATGGATCTGCAGAGCGCCTATAACCTCATTCGTAAGAGAGATGAGTGAAAAACTGCTTTCATTACATCCAGTGGGAACTATGAATATCGGGTCATGCCATATGGCCTGGTTAGCTCCCCCTCTGTATTTCAGTCATTTATAAATGAGGTTCTACAAGACTTTCTCCACCGGTTCATCACACTCATCATGTTCAACGATCCCTAGAGAAACACCAGCTACACCTCAAATTTAAGAAGTGCCAGTTTAACTTTAACTGTCCGTTTCCTGTGATATGTCATATTGTTTCAAACAAAGTGCAAGCTATCACATCCTGGCCTCAACCTTCTACCAATGAGTAACAATGCTTTACCAACATTTGATGGCTGTTCATTCATAATTTCAGCTCTCAACAGGGTCCCCATCCTCTATCAACTTGATCCAGAGCTCCTCTTTACCGTGGAAGACGACGTATTTGTCACCGGGGTTGATGCTGTCCTGTCCCAGAGACGGGGAACTCATCCCAAGCTTTATCCCTAATCTTGTTCTTTCTATTTTTTGTGCAGTTCTCTTATTGTCCACAGCAGTCCAGAATTATGATATATAACCGTAAGCTGCTGGCTATTAACATGGTTGATAGCACCTGTTTCAAGTCATCACAGACCACGACAAGCTTGAGTACCTCTGTTCCACCAAGAGACTGAATCCTTGCCAGGCTCGCTGGGCCCCCTTGTTGCTCATACGTGCCAGAACCACTTTATCGTTCTTTCCTGGATTGGCCACGCAGGAGTCACAGAGGTGTTGGCACTGACCCAGAAGATACTGGTGGCCCCATCTCCTACACAACATAACTATACTCTCACATTGTTCCCACATTGAGTCTCCAAAGTTCCAACTATTTTTTAATGATGGATTTTAACAAAATCTTTACATAAAAGGCAACTTGAAAAGTAACAAAAATAAATGAAGACAGTTGGTGGGTTGAATGCCGTTTATGGTAACATGTGGCTATGCAGAAAGCAAATACCAACTCAAACCTAAAAAAAAATCATTACCAGGTGTGTGTGTGTGTATGTTGACTCTATATTTTTTGGACTATTTCATGTCTGTCAGACTTTTTTTCATTTTGAATAGTGTTTCAATAAATGCACAGTTAGCTTATTTAAATGTGTTCAATGTGGCTGGTTTTTCTAAAGGATTGTACACTGTCTTTTTAATTGCTTTGCTTAAAGGATACCAAGTGAGTCATAGTGCGTGTAAGATCACAGGCTTTGATAAAATTTCATGGAGCGCTTCATTGAAAATTCAGAACTATTTTTAACTCTGGCAATTAGTACAGTCATAAGGATTCACATGATTCGACTGGGTGAAGACTGACAGAGTCCACAAGCTTAAGTTGTATTTCTCATTAATGATTGTGCGTACCACAAGGAGGTTCCAAGAATGACCTGGATATTCCACGAGCATTTGGAAAGATAAATTTAGCCTGATGCTTATTGTCTAGGATTACACACTGTCATTAGGGAAGATTGGTGTTTTCTCAATCCTTATAATGCCTGGCTGAGTAATGCCATCTTGATTGCTCAAATCCAGAGAATCGCCATTCGAGCATTATACTGTGGACCATAATCCATATATTTATCATTTTAAAGGTAGGCTACTATTACTTATTAGTAAACACACACAATACACATTGGGGCGGTGGGGTTGGCATGTTGTACTTAGGGGTGGTCTTTTGCCAGTAATCAAACCAACCATCCAGAACACCCTGGTAGTGTTGCATCCACCGTGTTGTTACTGTCACGTGACCTACCAGCATCAGTTGCGTCGCTTTACTTCCATTCATAAATCCTCTCCTGTGGCCTCATAGGATACTAAAGTGTCCATCAAATGTGAACTTCAGAATCTCGGCAGAAGTAGTAGGTCATCCGGCGACTTAAATTCCGACTAATATTTTTCGAAAAATATGTATTCGGACATATTACTCTTTTTT